TGTGCAGAAGCTTCTGATAGCGTTTTCCTCGTCATATCTCGTCGAAAAAAGTTTTAGTGCCGTTACAAACTTATTAACAAAAAAAAGGAGCAGATTGAATATCATAGAAAGGGGAGATTTACGGTTATTCCTTACAAAACTCAAGCCAAATATTGATAATTTGCTGTCAATCCATCAAGTACATCCCTCTCATTAAAATTATATTTCTTTTGTAATTACCATTGTAGAAATTACATTACGTTATAAGTGTTTAATTTTAATTATATTACGACGGTTATAACAATAATAATTAATAGTGTAATAATTTATATATTTAAATTTAAATAAATACCTACAACACAAGGAAATATACTATATTTCTTTTTGCCACTCCGAATGGAACGTTTTCTAAATAAAATTTATGAGAATTGATTGGTTCTTGTGCTGTGAGTCACTGTAGATTTCAAAAAAGTAAAGTTGGATGGAGTCACTTTTTCGTTTGGCCAACTTGCTTTTTTGACATCCACTCATAGCACAATCAATTAAAATTTAATTGAAAATTTGTTTAGTCGACTTTATTATCAAATAATTAACCCTATCAAGCAATCAATTCTAACCTTTTTTTTTTCGAAAACTGTTAATTCATCGTTAAAACTCAGCCAGAACGCAAGTTTCCATAAATAGATCTAATCTTCATTTTTTTTTTTCGAGATTTAGAAATTGGTAGTGATGTAGCTACCGGATCCAGCAAAATTTTGAAAGTGGTTTATGAAACAAAAGAGTTTGGGAACCTCTGTTTTAGACCATGCACAACTTTTTATGCTGAATAAATTTTTTTGATAAAACTAATAATAAAAAAGTTTTCCATATGTAGCCAACTTACGCACACTGTACATAAAAAATGTTTTAAAATAAAAATTAAATAGCTAGCTGAGGTAGGTACACTATTATTTATCAATCTAATTATAATATAAAAAATAAATTGTACTTTTTTCAATAAAAAAGACAATTTCAAATGTCATAACAATATAATGTAAAAACTATTTTCGCGGAGAAACAAGAGAAACAAAAAATTATGTTTTATGAAAGTTACATAATATTTAAAACCTGGCAAGCTTCTCTTGTACAGCACTACGTATATATATTTAATTTTAAGCCAAAAGGACCTTCTTAGGTTAAACTAAAGAGGTGATCTTCATTATATCACTATAATATTGGTACCGATCCTTGAAAGCCCGAGTTGCGAAGGGTATTTAACCTCACATCCCCAACTAGCCATTCATAAAAGTGTATTTATGTGAAGTCCTCATCATCATCTATTGTATAGTCCAGGAGACAGTGACGATTTTCGGTATTTATTTTCCCAGTCAGCAAGCACGAATAGAGAATAGTAGGATTAGCAATTCTAAGCAAAATTCATATATATTTAGAGGGGGGATCCGATGGGCTGAGGCCAAAAATGCGTCAAAACATACGAGAACACGGCCCTTTTTTTTCCATTGGTAAAAATAGTTTTAATAGTAAGAGATGTACTGAAGTTAAGTAAAAAAATAGTCTGATTAATATGTATGGATAATATATTTGGCAAGTGCATAAAATACACTTTCAAACGAGTTATGTACACAATTATTTCCACAACCACAATTATTTAAAGAATGTTCCAGGTGTTTTGTATATTAAAGTGTACGCATAGGACACATAAATAAAATCATATATCACAATGTTTCACCTAACCAGTTGGTTTATTTATAGAAATTAAACATAATAATTGAAGATATTACAGAAGAAAATAGGGAAATGAATTACATTTCCTTTTTCACTTTTATATAATAATTGTTTTATTTAGAATTCACGAAACATTTATTACTCTACATTAATTATAATTATTGTTAGTTTCGTTATGTCAAATCATTTATTCTAGAGGTGTGAGGAAAATACAGTGAACGCCAATATCGTTGGATGCGCGTGGTAGAAATGGTTCTATAATACTGCTAAAAACATAGCTAAATTTTCATGGAAACACTGTACTTCTGACATTTGCGATACTCCGACGCATATGCATTATTGATGTAATCTCATGATTTTACAGTAATAGTTTTTGCAATTTTAGTGTAATTTTTAGGTTATTATGGTTATTCATTTTATTTGGTTCTGATCTTTTGCGCTTTTAGAGTATTTGTCTTTTATATAGTTTTTAATTTGAATTTTAATATTGTGGTCTATTTATATTTGATTGCTGCTTTTCGACTAGTGCTTTATTCTTTTTGTGTTAAAATAAGCTTTATAACCATTAAGTACATGCTTCTAGTTGATATCTACCTAATCGTCATCGGGTGCTTGCAACAATGGAAAAAAGTGTATGGTTTTTTTGGTGTAAAGTTAGACTCCTTCATTTTTCAGGTAAGTTATTTGTAGTTATTTTTTACTTAAAAGGATAGCAATACGCCCTGGTTGGGGGTGTGACTTTTGGGTTTTAGCTATCTGAGCCAAATTGTCGGCTAAGTGTCCTCTTTTAGGGCACCCAGAACCGAAAACTTATATATGTTTTTTTTTTAATTATTTTTTAATATGTATGCAGCTTGGATGAGGGCTTTAGGAAGAGATCCTAAGACTGAAACACTGACTGCTATAAATGCCGTTTTTAGAGCACATTTCATAGTAAGTGATTTCATTCTAGCAGAAATGAGGAAACGTTTAAAAAACATGCTGTACCAGCTATTACTTTAAGACCTCGTCTCTTTAAGTTATTATTACTTCATTCTAATGCATATATTAAAATGGTTTTTCACTTTGTGCCCTTAAGATTAAAAGATGTAGGTATTTTAGTTATGTTATAATAGAAATATGTGATGCATTGTATTGACTGACCTACTGGCCACTGGTCATTCCACTTTTACTCCCTTTTTTCATAAATTATTAAATTATTTAAAAACAAATACATACCTACCTATTTTCTGTAAATTACATTAAAAATGTAAAAAACCGTATTTCTCATCTATTAAATTGTTGTTAACGATAAAGAATACTTTTAATTTATTAAAACAAAAATAAAACCTGACTCGATAACTTAAATCAGTGAAAATAAGTTGCTTGAGATGGGGTCGTTTTTATGGAAAATTTTAGTGTTAATACTTTACTAATAAAACTTCAGTTAAATTATCTTATACAGGGTGGCTCACGCTCAACGGGACGGAGCTTTATGGGAAAACGACCAAAGATATAAAAAATTCGTTTGGGAGGAATACGTAGGTTACAGACGGCTACAATTTAAAATTTCTTAGATGTAAACAGGATGTCCCACATAAGAAAAAAAAATTAGTTCATTAAAAATTATTCAAACAAGAGTAAACAATTAATTTCTGGGAGACTTTTTTTCCTTAAAAATTCAAATAAATCGAAAACTAATAATAATAGTAATAGGGAACCTTTAGTTAACTGACATTATTTTTGATGTAGTTTTTAATTCTAAAATAAAAACAGGGTGTTCCATTAAAAATAATATAACTTTGTATATTTTCTCTTATGTGGGACATCCTGTATACATCTAACAAATTTTAAATTGTAGCCGTCTGTAACCTACGTATTCCTCCCAAACGAATTTTTTATATCTTTGGTCGTTTTCCCATAAAGCTCCGTCCCGTTGAGCGTGAGCCACCCTGTATATATATACACAACGGAAGAGTTAATTGGATTTTCTCCTTGTTGAGTTTCAAAAATAGTAATTTAACATGATTAAAAAACAAATACATGAAATGGGTAAAATAGGCCTGCAAAGGCACTTTGTACACAATCTCACTTGTATCGATGTGATGTAATGCGCGAATTCAATCTGGCTTACTTTTGTTAATAGATTGGCGTTCCATTTTAAATATACAGTTCACTGGGAATAGATTATTTAAATATATACGGACCGGGAAAACAAGTACGAAAAAAATTCACTGGCTCCTGGACTAGTACTGTATCGAAGGAATTTTATGAATGAAACAATATACGACCCTCCACAATTGCGGTCTACTCTAGTTCCGCTGTTGTCAGACGTTATTTTTTTTTTTTGACAATTTAAAGACCTAACAGTATTTCAAGCAAACGCAATAACATTACTACAGTTAAAAACATCGCAAACTTGGCATCAATATTTTAATTTTATCCAAATATTGCATTTCTGTCGATGATCATCCGCGTTGACTTCAGAAATTGTGTAATCTGTATTGGTTATATATATCTATAGTTAAAAGCACGTAAACTTGGCATCAATGTTCAATCCGATTATTGGGTTTCTACCGCGGACACCACCGTTCATTCTTCAAAAATTTTGTAAATAATCCTATCTGTCTTGGTTATATATCTATGATTTAACCTACCTGTAGCCTTCCGCCCGAAATGCGAAAAATTAAGTATTCCGCTCGAGTTGCAACGCACGATATGCGCATAAATCCGTATTTACCAAAAGTCTTATAATTATGAAAACTATTTGTAATAACTTTTATCACAATAGAAATGTTTTCATTACTAAACGAACGCGTGTTATGTCTTATCCATTGTTTACATTTTTTGCAGTAATTTAGACATATAATAATATTATGAGGCATCAACTTCTAAGTACGCATTGTTTACTACAATTATTAATCTTTATAGTTTATCACTTATTGGTATTAATATTTATCTCCATTTTTTAAATACCTAATTATTATAGTATTTTGTACTTTAGTAACAAGGTATACGAACTCAATTTTTTCACATGCATATCCATTTTAAGGTAAAGATAAATACCTTAAATAATTAATTTTTAAGCATAACAATGTTCATGTATCCTTGGCAATCATTAAATTTATTTATTTTCATTAGTAAAAATCGTATTTTTTTTTCGAGGTCATATTTCATTAAATAATTTAACTTTACATTTTTCGCGAATAATTCAATTTTATAATAATTGATTAAGCGTCACCAATGCGTTTGTAAACGGTCATCCATGTCTTAAATAAAATATAAGGGCGAAGGTTAAACGCAAAGAAAAACAGGAATTTCTAACAAAAATATTTTTATTTTCCAACAATATCGTCATCTAAAACAACATTTCACAACGTCTTATACAATAATTATACAAAAACAAAAATCTCATCTCTCTACAATAACAAAAATCGTTTTCTTATTTCTCAACTTCACAATAAACCTTATTTATTAAAGCCTATAAGATGTATACAATACTTCCTCTAGCGAATATACAAAAAAAAACCTAATATCCCCCGATTTCGTTAAATGCAACAATTTTATACAAACAGTACGTCGAAATCGGCGAGACAAAATGCACCCAAAAACCTTAACACAACCCAAATGTTAAGATTTCCTCTCGGTGCCACAAAAGCGCCATCTGTGGGCGACCAAATAACCATCAGTATATACTTGAAACCAATCCAGTTCACGGATCTTATTCATTTTTAAGTATTTCGGAATAAGTTCAGCTAGGCAACGGGATAACCGGTCTCGGGTATTCTTCCAAAGTAAATTCGTAGAAATCCGCCAAAATTTGCTCGGTCGGCGACATGGGAAACTCGTCTTCTGGGGTTGGTGGAAGACTGAGGTCCTTCGTGACCACCGCGCAACTGCAACCGGATTTTGTATTCTGCACGCCACAGTATTCTGATAGTTTATCGCTACTGTCAACCTGCAACAAAGAAAATTGGTTATTAGTAATGCTATTTTTCGTAGTTAATAATATTTTATTTCATTAATAGATACTGATTTAAATTGAGTTGATTTTATAGTCGTAATTTAAATTTGTATTTAATTTCTTTGTTAAATAATCTAGGTGAGGTTTTCAATTCAGTGTTTCATCAATAAATACACTCAATAGTTTGGCATGCCTGGACTCAATATTAACAAGTTCAGTGCATGTCCAGTTTACTGGATGCAAAAGTTTCTAATGACAGACCGCGTCCAGTTAAGTTGACACCAATTAAATATTAAATATACGTGTTCCTATAAACGGAGGTCTATTGCGATATATTTTAGGGTTTGTAAGGAGTCTTGGGCAAAGATTTGCCCCAAAAATCTGGACCCTGGTGTTTGCTATGAATATGAAAAATATATAATGGTATCCTGTTAACTGGACAGTGTCAGATATCTTTTAAATATATCCAAACAAAGGCCATATATACTGAGTTCTGGCTAGAGACTGTTCTGACCAAAGTATATTTAAAAATTTATTCTCACGTAATTTTAGATTTATTATATTTTAAACCATTTTTATGATTCACGAGTAGCATCTAGGGTATCTGCATCTGTATTACATTCTGTTACAAATGTAGTATCAGTGTATATTTGCTGGTAAATCATTAATGCAAATCAGAAAGAATATTGGACGCACTATTGAGTCCCGAGGCACACCAATTGTTATTGAACGGAATCGCGAAATAACCCAATTAATAAAAGAAACAAATAATCAGAATGGTACCTATTATCCCAAATTATAATTTGTTCGATAAGGGTTTGTGGCTTAGGCATCAAACGCTTTGAAAAGGTCTAATAACATTATGTGAGGAATTTCTCTACATTTTTAAGTGATGCTTTTAATGTGAATTTACCGTCTATATCCTAATTGGCTAAATTTTTATTCAAAACCGATTTAGAAGCGCACTTATTGAAGAACTTATTATCGATTTATTAACAATACAAAATTCAGTTATTCTGGATAAAAAACGATGATTATAGAATATAGGTACTGCATAAAAAATAATATGATAATATTTAAAATATTACTAAATATTAACTCTTCATGATATGATCTTAAGATTAAGGTTTACATGTAAGATTTTTTGTGCTCTTATTAGGAAATTACAGTGGAAGAAATCTATGAAAAATCATATGATGTGAAGTTCAAACAATTAATTAAAAAATTATTAGAAATAAAACAGATCAGAAACAACGGATGAAAAATAAAGTTGCTAATACAATCAATATAGTGGCAGCAATGACAAAACGCGATCATTTAGGTAAATATTTATATGAAAGGAATGGTCTTAGATGAACTTTTACGTACAAGAGTAAAGAAATTATATTTTTCCGAGAGAAATGTCATAATCTAAAAAATAGCTATGGTACCATTAAATAATCACCTGTTCTAAGAAATCAACCTGTTTACCAAATCAATATTTCCCTATAGAGTTATGCAAACAATTTACAATCCCTTCAAACGAATTAACATTGAAACTCGCCTTCCAAGTATTAAAAAATCAATAAATTAACTGCGGAATTTCCGTTCAACGACTACAAAGAATGTGCCTTATCTTGAATCACGCTTTCATTGCCCCGTTATCAAAGTTTATTTAACATATATTTACTATGAGACTTTTACATTACACGTGAAATATATCGGCGAAAATTAGGTTATTGTATTTATATTATACAGAAGCACGTGTAGACTACATATGTCTCAAACTTTGATTTGCAATTAAAATAATTAAACCAGTGCAAAGTAATTTTATGAATTCTGCATGGATACGTTTGCGTCAATTTTGCTTTAATGACGTACAATATTCCCTACAGACATTTAAAATCATGAATTTAAATCGGTATACTATTATAGTATGAAATTAATTCATTAAAGGTTAATAGATATGTCTACAACAGTAGGTACTTGATCTTGATCTAATTAATTACCAACTTGTTTACATATTCATTAACGAATCGACGTGTTTACAGTAATTAATTTTAATGAAACCTACCTGTATCACTGGTATGTCGTTTTCATAGCAAAAAGCTTGCAATAAAACTGTTTGCATATGCATAGTGGAATCCCCAGGTCTCGTCTGGGGAAGTACACAAAATAGGACATCCTCTGGGGATTTTTCAAGGTATGCCACGGCAGGAAGGAGTCCACATATCAATCTTCTGTTGACCCTTGCATGGGTCAACATGCCGTGCACAGCACGTCCTAATTTTGATCTGTAACAATGAAAAAATGTTTATTAGTAAACATGGTAAATGTAAGAAATAATGGCAAATGTAAGAAATAGTTGATGATTAAGTTTAACTGAAAAACAGCAATGACGTTTTTGATAAAATAGGGTAGTATCAATAAGAATAAGGAATAATTATTGTAGAACTTAGAGAAGAAGAAAAAACACCTTCAAAATGTAAAATTTGAATGAAAATTGTATTTTTATGAATTAGGTATGATAATTTTCTTGGATTGTATCAGGAAACAAATAATTTAATAATATTCTACTCCAAAAATGAAGATTTTTTCATCAGATCTTAACCAAATTTATACTAAACCACCCCTAACAAAAAAAAAAAGAATCCTTGAAATGGGACATTCATAAAAACTATTTGACAGATTGAGAATCTAATCCATTTTTTGAAATTTGTAAAAATAGAGTAGTAGGTACAAATAATAAGTATTAATTATTGTAGAAACAAAAAGAAACTTCTAAAAAGGGAAATTTAAACAGAAAATTGTATTTTTATTAATTAGGTATGAAAAAGATCGTAATTTTCTTGGATTGTATCAAGAAACGATAAAAGAAACGAATACTAATCAAATATTGTTAAAAAAAGACTGATAAAACAAAAATTTAAATAAAATTGAATGAAAGTATGTAGGTACCTACTTAGAAATAACTGCCTCAAAAAACACATGTCAATTCGTAAAAAACAGTTAAATGTTAATGCCTCATATTCATTATTACAATGTCAACTTAAAGATATTCTTTAAGTGAAATTTCCAAACAGCTTGACCTACTTGTAAAGTTTCATCACTATTTCGAAAATTTGCAAGGAATTTTTTTAACGGCAAAATTATTTTGACATATCTAATTCAATGTTTTGAAGAAAAAAACGATTTCTTACCTGTTGAACATTTCTTGTTTGATTAGATTCATTTCAGTTTCTACACACATCTTCAATCTGGTTGAATAACTATGTTTAATTGACGAAAACAGTTTATTATCACTAATCAAATGTCTTTTATTATTAATTTTAATCACTATCACTCCGTAATCCCAAAAAAATCGGTTGATATATCTATCAGATGATGCTAACGATCCACAAGTTGTGTAATATGTCACAATATTGACTAAGGTTATGTTTACAACTTTCACAAATTCACTGTAATACTCGTACTCTGTATGCTTCAAGCTGTTTCAGTTTCTAACGTTCCGAAACGTGAAGCGTCGCTTTTATAATATCGAGTAAAACTCGATGGTGGGAGAGTTCAACTCTACGAACTCGACACAAAACAAATTCAAGGAATACCCCGAGTGGCGGAGGATTTTTCCGCCAGCGGTCGATGTCTGTTCGAGTTAATTGATAAAAAGGGAATTTTGTGGGGAAATTTCTTTGAACCGGAGGTGATTGGAATTTAAAATGTTGGGTGATCCTTGACACCGAAACGGATCGGATTTTCGGTTTTTGGGATTTAAAATAAAAATAAATGAACTGCGGGTTGAGGAGAGTTTGATAAGAGATTTGTTGCTATGTAGGTATAATTACTTAATTATCGGTTGTAAATTTGTCGGAAATAAATGCAATTAATGCAGTTATGAATAAATTTGATATGAAATTAAGTGATTAATTTAAGAATGTTGGTGTCTCAGATTATTAGCACGTGTCTGGTATTTGTCTATAAAAATTTGCAAAATTGCAAATTCTTTTTTTGTAATAATGATTGTGGTCTGATTTTGTTGATAACCCGGGCACATGGTGCGAAGCGCAGTTTTGAAATAAGTAAGAAATATTGTAAAAAACGTGCGAATTAAAATACAGCGAAGATAAATTATTCATATTGCCTTTTTTGGATTTAATTTTTTTTTTTTTTTTTTTTCAATAGGTACTACCTTAATAATCTATAAATAATAAAAAATAGATCAGATTAATTTTTATAAATAGCTATATAAGTATGTGCGTAAATAGGACAATTTTATTGACTTTTTTTGTTTATAAGTATGTTACAGCTGGTAGTTTTTCTAGAACTAAGATATAATAGGATAGGTAGATAATGGTAATGAAATAAGTAAAAAGTTTAATTTTTTTTTTTTATAAAAATTTGTAGTAGTTTATCAAAAGAGTATTACCATTTGGAGACTATAAGAAAATACATTTTATTCTTTTCTCTTTTCTAATAGCAAATAATATTAATTTCTAGCAAAATTAGAGTTTAAAAATGTCAAAATATACAGAGTCAGCCAGAATATATAAAATTCATGAAAAATTATTTTGTTCGAATTAACCCTATATATAACAGTTTCTCGATTACTTTATTTAAATTAAAAACAATATTGTTTAAAATACCAATCTAATCAAAACTTTTGCTAATAAAAATATTTAAACCAAAAATATCGATTTTGAACATATAAAAATGCGTAAAAACTGCTTATTTTATTTCCTCTAGATATTGCAGGCGTTGAGTATGGAATCGTGTTTTTTTTATATAAAGAAAATACATGACTTCCCAAAAAAGGAGCGATAATAGGTTTTTTAGGGTTCATGATCTGTATATAAATAAAGATATTAATTTAAAAAAATATATATTTTTTTTTAAAACACAACAAACATTTTGTGCAGGGTAATAAATGGTCCAATAGCTGTTACCCTCCAATTGTAATGATGACCATTTAACTTTTATAATTAAAAGGCCGACATATATAGGTCACTAAGGCCGACAGTCGGGCCGAAATCACTTAGCCATTAAATCAAGTTAATAGTCCTCCATTTTCCCTTTAATATCTAAAAATAAATATATTGGCAATTAATAGCCTATTGATGGGATGTTAACGGGAAATTGCTGGCCTTCTACCATATTAATACTGACTGCTGAATGAAGGCACATGACCAGACAGGATATCCGATAGTGTCTCTTTGACCAGTATTACCGTTTGAACTATAACAAAAGGCATTTTAAAATAGAATATTGTAGATATTTTATTTAATTTATCTGTATAATATAATAATACAGAAAAAATGTCTTCTTCAAAAAAATTATTCATAAAATATTCTAAATTAACATGTAAAAGTAAAAAATTAAAATGAATACTGAATACCATCAATGAAAGACTGGTCTCGGAGTACATGTCCACTCGTTGAGTATGTAACAAGCGATCATCGGTGACTCCATCTATGAACGCGGGACGGGGTCCTCCTGGACTGTTGGAGTTGGGTCTGCGGCAGTTAAAAGCCTTTCGACTTTTACCATGCTTTTATCCAATACAGTTACTTATCCTTCATAAGGCCATCATCAAGCAACATTAGCTAGGCCACTATCAAAAGGCCAAAAGTAGGCTTTTATCTTCTAATTGTCGCATTAATTTTCCCTTCAATTACATCAAAATATCCCGGCAATTTATTGTTTGTTGTGAAATAATAAAAAAATTAAATTTTTTTAAAATTATTTAACATTTATAAAAAAAATTTAAAATCTTTATTTATTTTTTAAATTTTTATTCATTTTTAAAATTTGAATAGTTTTTAATCGTTTTTGATAATTTTTAATAATTTTTAATAATTTTTAATAATTTTTAATAATTTTTAATAATTTTTAATAATTTTTAATAATTTTTAATAATTTTTAATAATTTTTAATAATTTTTAATAATTTTTAATAATTTTTAATAATTTTTAATAATTTTTAATAATTTTTAATAATTTTTAATAATTTTTAATAATTTTTAATAATTTTTAATAATTTTTAATAATTTTTAATAATTTTTAATAATTTTTAATAATTTTTAATAATTTTTAATAATTTTTAATAATTTTTAATAATTTTTAATAATTTTTAATAATTTTTAATAATTTTTAATAATTTTTAATAATTTTTAATAATTTTTAATAATTTTTAATAATTTTTAATAATTTTTAATAATTTTTAATAATTTTTAATAATTTTTAATAATTTTTAATAATTTTTAATAATTTTTAATAATTTTTAATAATTTTTAATAATTTTTAATAATTTTTAATAATTTTTAATAATTTTTAATAATTTTTAATAATTTTTAATAATTTTTAATAATTTTTAATAATTTTTAATAATTTTTAATAATTTTTAATAATTTTTAATAATTTTTAATAATTTTTAATAATTTTTAATAATTTTTAATAATTTTTAATAATTTTTAATAATTTTTAATAATTTTTAATAATTTTTAATAATTTTTAATAATTTTTAATAATTTTTAATAATTTTTAATAATTTTTAATAATTTTTAATAATTTTTAATAATTTTTAATAATTTTTAATAATTTTTAATAATTTTTAATAATTTTTAATAATTTTTTAATAATTTTAATAATTTTTAATAATTTTTAATACTTTTTAATAATTTTTAATAATTTTTAATCGTTTTTAATAATTTTAAATAGTTTTTATTCATTTTTAATCATTTCTAATCAATCATTTCTAATAATTTCTAATAATTTCTAATAATTTCTAATAATTTCTAATAATTTCTAATAATTTCTAATAATTTCTAATAATTTCTAATAATTTCTAATAATTTCTAATAATTTCTAATAATTTCTAATAATTTCTAATAATTTCTAATAATTTCTAATAATTTCTAATAATTTCTAATAATTTCTAATAATTTCTAATAATTTCTAATAATTTCTAATAATTTCTAATAATTTCTAATAATTTCTAATAATTTCTAATAATTTCTAATAATTTCTAATAATTTCTAATAATTTCTAATAATTTCTAATAATTTCTAATAATTTCTAATAATTTCTAATAATTTCTAATAATTTCTAATAATTTCTAATAATTTCTAATAATTTCTAATAATTTCTAATAATTTCTAATAATTTCTAATAATTTCTAATAATTTCTAATAATTTCTAATAATTTCTAATAATTTCTAATAATTTCTAATAATTTCTAATAATTTCTAATAATTTCTAATAATTTCTAATAATTTCTAATAATTTCTAATAATTTCTAATAATTTCTAATAATTTCTAATAATTTCTAATAATTTCTAATAATTTCTAATAATTTCTAATAATTTCTAATAATTTCTAATAATTTCTAATAATTTCTAATAATTTCTAATAATTTCTAATAATTTCTAATAATTTCTAATAATTTCTAATAATTTCTAATAATTTCTAATAATTTCTAATAATTTCTAATAATTTCTAATAATTTCTAATAATTTCTAATAATTTCTAATAATTTCTAATAATTTCTAATAATTTCTAATAATTTCTAATAATTTCTAATAATTTCTAATAATTTCTAATAATTTCTAATAATTTCTAATAATTTCTAATAATTTCTAATAATTTCTAATAATTTCTAATAATTTCTAATAATTTCTAATAATTTCTAATAATTTCTAATAATTTCTAATAATTTCTAATAATTTCTAATAATTTCTAATAATTTCTAATAATTTCTAATAATTTCTAATAATTTCTAATAATTTCTAATAATTTCTAATAATTTCTAATAATTTCTAATAATTTCTAATAATTTCTAATAATTTCTAATAATTTCTAATAATTTCTAATAATTTCTAATAATTTCTAATAATTTCTAATAATTTCTAATAATTTCTAATAATTTCTAATAATTTCTAATAATTTCTAATAATTTCTAATAATTTCTAATAATTTCTAATAATTTCTAATAATTTCTAATAATTTCTAATAATTTCTAATAATTTCTAATAATTTCTAATAATTTCTAATAATTTCTAATAATTTCTAATAATTTCTAATAATTTCTAATAATTTCTAATAATTTCTAATAATTTCTAATAATTTCTAATAATTTCTAATAATTTCTAATAATTTCTAATAATTTCTAATAATTTCTAATAATTTCTAATAATTTCTAATAATTTCTAATAATTTCTAATAATTTCTAATAATTTCTAATAATTTCTAATAATTTCTAATAATTTCTAATAATTTCTAATAATTTCTAATAATTTCTAATAATTTCTAATAATTTCTAATAATTTCTAATAATTTCTAATAATTTCTAATAATTTCTAATAATTTCTAATAATTTCTAATAATTTCTAATAATTTCTAATAATTTCTAATAATTTTCTAATAATTTCTAATAATTTCTAATCATTTTTATTCATTTTTATTCATTTTTATTCATTTTTATTCATTTTTATTCATTTTTATTC